TATCAAAATGAAGAAAAACACATCTATTATGGAAATTCATGAATTTTCCACTTTATTTCAAAAGTCATCATCAGATGAAACTGAGAGAGATATGTTTTTAATGAATGCGGTCCGTTGTTGGGTAGTTAATGAAGTTTCAGTGTAGTGTTTGCCGTTTGTGCGTTTGGATGAGTTTGCGAAATGATTTCTATGCGGTCCAGGTGTAGTTGAGGAAGATCAGGTTTGTGTGAAAAGTGTAATCATATGAGAGTTAGGAGAATTGGTTTCCTTGGGGGTGATAAGTTTTTTTCGTTCTGTATAATGAGTGCCTCTACTGAAGCATTGTCTTGAAGGATAGAATGGATAAAAGCTATTCGCTTCTGTTTATCGTATCAGTGAGTTGTGTATCATTTGGGTTTTCGTTTACTGTTTTTTTTCTTTTTGTACTCGCATGGAACAGTTTTTTGTCGAGCGCTGTTGATTTGAAAATTTCAGGTAAATGGAGTTTTTGTTAATTTGAGTAGTGGAGAGGAGGTTGTTGTTTAGTTACATGGACTTTCCGGTAGTAAATATTGATGGATTTTTGGGTGTGAATCATGGTGAAATTGTATTGCGTGCATATCGTACTCTGAAAAAGTTTTATCGTCGTTTTCATTCGATTTTACTTGATATTAAGTTTTTGAAGACGTGTCGAGCTTATGATATAATTCCCAGATTTTTGTGGTTTAAAACTGCGAATTGTGATCTTAGTGCCTCATGTATTTACAAAAATTGCCAACGCGTTTTTTGAGTTTACAAATAGATTTTAAATATCGAGATCTTCGAAGAGCAAAGAAGGATTATGTTTTGTCGCTCGATGTTCTGAAAAATTGTACCACCGATGTTCTATTTCAACATCTGCAAGATGCGATTGTTTATATTTCAATCCCACTGTTGCAAAAGAAACAAGATAAAGTGAACGAAAAGTTGTACGGGTATGACCAAAATGTTACACCGAAAAATACGATTAATCGAAAAGTTGTTACCAATCTGTCAAGTCGAATACTATCAAACGACGAAATCGATGGCCTTGCTAATGGATTAGATTTTGGTTTAGTTCCTGGACGTGTTGATGACATGGGTGTCATCAGTAACATTGAACAGTTTTTTCATCAGGTTACGAACATTTATCAAAATCACAAATCACTCATGTCTGAGCTGGAGGAAAAAAATAAAGCTGGTGGTGAACTTCGAACTCTTACCGCGCAAAAAATGACATTAGCAAGTAAACTTCGTTCTATTACCGACTCATTTCGATTTCAAGCGAATCGGTTTTGTCAAAAACGATATATAAATAATCCGGAACAAGAACAATATCGTTCTTTATTGCTGCATCTGAAAGAAGATAAATCACTTGTTATTACTCGACTTGATAAAGGCAGAGGAGTTGTATTAATGAATAAAAACGAGTACTTGTCCAAGATGTATGCAACTGTTAATGATTCATCTAAATTTAAACGTCTATCTATGGACCCTACAGTTGCTAGGGAACAAAATCTTATAAATTTATTAAACCGATTGTTAAAAGAAAAGTCCATAACAAAACAATTTTTCAAAATTTCATGTCCTAAACAGGGTTGCCAGATGCTATAGTCAAAAATCCGGAAAATCCCGGAATTTTTCCTTCGAAATCCGGAAAGATTTTTAGCATCATTTTAATTCGTTAACGTTCGGTTTTTCAACCTAAATATCAATTTCCTTATTCTAAATCTTCAGAAAATATATTTCATTGGAAAAAATATCAAAACATAGTTAATTTAGCAAATAACAAACTGTAAACTACACATTTAAATATTAAATAATACGCTGTTTTTTTATACAATATTTTTCACTAGAATAAATAAGTTTTACTAGATCTGGTTTTGACAAAAAAAAATCATAAACTTGTGTACAAGATAAAGATGAATTTAAACGAATTTTCAATTCAGCCGCAATAAGATCTGTTGACATTCGATTTCGTTGATCATCATACAAATGTTTCATTGTCGAAAAGACACTTTCTACATGTGCATTACTGCATGGGATTGAAAATAAAAACGAGATGAATTTATGTAAATTAGATTAAGGTTTGATAGAAAGCAGGATTGCCCATAAATGATCAGACCTAATTTCCTTTGATACAATACTATCTTCATTTGAATCCTCATCATTGTCTTCTTCGACTTCAGTCCTTTTATCTAATGAACTTTTTGTTGAAGTAACCAAATATGTATTTGGATTGGATTTCTTTTCAACATATGATTGAACTTGTTCATAAAGCGAAATATTTTTATTCTGCATGGATATAAATACACATTGAATCTCTGTAAATTCATTGAACAAATTGTCTTCATTCAAATTTTTTATTTGAAATAATTCAATACATTTGGTGACATTATTCCATGTGATCTCATTAATTGTTGACAAACCAAATGGACTTATAGCTTCATACTTCTTCAACAGATAATATTCATCAATATATTCGATGACTCGTTCAATAAATCGAGCAAATAAAAACTTTAATTGCTGAGCTGACTCTGTATCTAATCGAGATAATTTTAAACGACAACTTATACCAAAAAATGATGAATTCAACCGTTGTTGTAAATTAAATTTCAGATCTATGATAATTTGATGTAAACTAACTGCAGCTAAATACCTCCTTTGCAGTTTAAGATTTGCTTTTTGGATAATGTAAAGAATATGTTCTAAAAAGCTAAGAATACAATGTCCTTCTTCAGATGAAAAGAGAACTTTGAGCTCTTCGGGACAGTCATCATCACGAGATAAAAAATAATCTTTGACAGGATTAAAAACCATTAATAATCTTTGTATCGATATGTACAAAGATAACCAACGAATGTTTATATATTTGAGAATTACCTAAACACAAATAACAAAAGCAATTAATTTATTAATAATATTATCGTTTCAGTAGAAACATTACTTTTCTTACCATATAATCTTGTTCGTAGAATTCATAATAAGACTTTAATTCAGCAATTCTTTTTGCTGATCGAGAAAAATGAGCATAAATTTTTAATAAATGTTTTTCTATATCAATAGACAATAATTTATGTGCATGTTTTACACTATTGTGTAAAATATGACTATAACACGATCCTAAAAAAGAACAAGAATAAACGAAAGATTATCTTGAAATACGAGATTTAGTTTTAAAACATCTTATTCTTCACGTTGTTCATTTCTATCCAACGTATTATAGATCAAGGACGGTGTATATTGGATTACCTTTCAGTAAAGTTGGTTTTTCATCACGAAAAAGTGCAAATACACTATGATACTCTCCCATATTTACATTAGCATTGTCTGCTCCGATAGCTGTTAATCCAGCGAGATTTAATTCATATTTATCTAATATTTGACGTGCACTTCGATGTATATCAATTGCTGATTCACTTGAATCATCGATGAAATCAATAATAGCTGAAACAATATAATTCATCATAATGTTAGAGATCAAAATTTCGAATTGTTCCCCCTTTTTTAACACCTATACATCTGAAAAATATTGAACACAAAACGGATAAGTTTTTAAATTGCCTTTATTACTGGCATCGAACGAAAGAGAATAGTAAAAAGCAAGTTTCATTTCTTGTATAACATGATGTGTAAAGTAAGGTGCTAAAACATCTGTTGCAATTGCTGCTGCTTTAGTACGTCCATGTGATAAAGAACTAACAATTGATGATGAGGAAAACAAATTTTTTAAAACATTGATCGTGCATTGTTGAGCTAAATATCAAAATTACATGTCTAACACCGTGATAAACTAGAGTAGCTTCAGCTGCAGCTATTTCATCTTTATCACGATTTGGTTTCAGCGTTGTAGTAATCAATTGACGATCAAGGCTAAAGGCTAACATATTTTTTCAGTGTTGTTTACTTTTTGAATGTTGAATTACATCATTTTTCCCCCCACAATGAACATTAAACTGGTAATTACATGCCATACATGTTGCTTGGGATTTATCTGGTTTATATTCCTTTAGAAATGTAAATTCTTTTAACCATTCATACTTGAATATGCCTTTCTTTTTCTCGTTTATCTTTTTGTTTTTTATCAATTTCAGATAATGTTGATCGTGCTTTTGATGATAGTTCATCTTCTTCTAAAATTTCTACTTCTTCACGTTGATGAAGTATTCTATAATTGTAGAAGAAAGATAAATTCAAAATACAAGTGACATTTTTTACTGTTCTTAATGAGATACATAAGAAAAATTATAGACCAGAACGGAGAAAAACGACTGGTCTTTGAGGAGACCAATTGAAGAAAGTGCCGAACCTCTATAGAATCATTTAAACTTTCTAAAATATAAATGAACAGCCGAAACATAATTCATCATATAAAAAAGATTCAAAAACCGGAAAAATCCGGAGAAACTTCCAAAATCTGGAAAAACTCTCAAAATCCGGAATTTTTCCGGAAAATCCGGAAGATCTGACAACCCTGGTCCTAAAGGTTCAAATCCTAGTCGATTCTATGAACTACCAAAAATTCATCAAGGTAATATTCCATTACGACCAGTACTTTCTGCTCTAGGAACATTCAATTATGGACTTGACAAAGCTCTAACTAATATGTTATCGGATATTATTGCAAGAAAAAACATGGTTCGAGATCCATTTTTATTCGTCAAAGAATTGTGAACATTACCTAAATCTTTCTGTAACTACAAGATGGTATCATTCGATACATCTAGTATGTACACGAATGTACCACTTGATGAAACTATAGAAATTATTCTTAATAATTTGTATATGAAACTCGTACCACAGCACCAACTATTCAACGTGATGATATGAAGCAGCTTTTAATTTTTGCCACAAAAAATAGTCATTTTCTCTTCGACGAAAAGCTATATGGTCAAATAGATGGAGTATCCATGGGATCTCCTTTAGCTCCATTACTTGCCGAAATCTTCTTGCAAGATTTTGAGAAAAGGCATTCGTCATCTTTTACAAGTATGGGTATTGCCTATTGGAAGAGATATATTGACGATACATTTGTCTTAATCGATTCAACATTTTCAGCAAAGGATATTTGTTACAAACTATCTTAATTTCATAAATCAATTAAATTTACGTGTGAAGAAGAGACTGCAACTACACGTACACTTTCATTTCTTAATATACTGATCCAAAAGCTACCGGGTGTAGGTTTTGCTACGAAGATCTACAGAAAAGAAACATTTTCTGGTCTCATTACAAAATGAAGTAGATTTGTGCCAAAAACTGACAAGTACAATGTCATTTCGACTCTAGTTTATAGAGCCATTCAACTTTACTCATCATATAAAAGTCTTCACCGAGAATTTAGATTTATTCGAAAACTATGTACACGTACAAAGAATGGATATCCGATAAATTGTGTAAACTCGATTATACGTCGACAAATTGATTTAGTATATAATCCACCTGTACCTAAACCATCTACACTCAATACAGATACTGTTGTAGTTCCTGTACGCTACTTCGGTTTGCCAAGCCAAGTTTACGCGAAACGTATTACTTCAGCAGTGTCAAAACAGTATCCACAAAAAAGAATACGTATTGTCTACGATGTAAAAGACCGCATTGGGAGTGGTTTCACAAGTAAGGATAAAATTTCAAAGCTAATAAAATCAGGTGTCGTGTACGAAGCATAATGTTCTCAATGTAGTGACAGTTATATCGGTAAAACCTATCGACACCTAAAGACAAGGATAAATGAACATCTAGCAGAACAAAAGAAATCCTTACCACCTGCACACAAAAGAACTCCACCCGTTATAAAACGAAACCAGTTTTCTAGTCAACTACACACTATAACAAAGACACACATGACTAGATCCACAATAGGTAAACTATCACCACCAAGATATAATTTAAGCAAAGACCACATTAAAGATCTATTCAAAACTATCAATCTTGTCGATAAGAAAGGAGATAAAAAGATTTCTGCATCCTCAATAGCGAAACACTACTACTCAACAGGACATATATTCAGAATAGATGATTTCAATATTTTAATAACCGAGAAACATAGATACCGTCTCCTCGTGAAAGAGTCACTACTCAGCAGAAAAAGACAACTATCACTGAACAACACAGATAGATCTGTTTCCCTATACGTGTATACTGGTGGACTTAATCTATTTCAGAGAACACAAGAAGATAGAAGAATTGCTATACATTCACCTTCCACTCAATAACAGGCAAGCGAGAAGCACACATTAAAGACTTGTAAAACATAATCTTCTCATTTACACCTTAGTTCAACTAATCTAACTCAATGCATGTGCATATACCTATAGCTTAATCATATTATATTCATCTACAACAGACACCATACTTGCAACCCTATACCGGAACCAAGATCGATACATCAAAGGTATTTGCCTAATCGTCTTCACACAACGAAAACCAATATTTGCAGTGTGCTCACAAAGGGTCACGAGAAATGCAAATCACCAATTCCAACAAAAACAACACTTGAGTGCACAAAACTGTTATAAACCACAATCCAAATATACCCGACACAAACCTATCCGACTATTCAACAGCGGATCGCATTCATTAAAAACATATCTCTCTCAGTTTCATCTGATGATGACTTTTGAAATAAAGTGGAAAATTCATGAATTTCCATAATAGATGTGTTTTTCTTCATTTTGATAAATGAAAAAATACATTTGCTGGAACACTCTCCTTTTTACTGCATTAATAATATATATTGTATTGAATTACAATTGATACCTTTATTTTGCTTTTCGAATTTTCTCAGTAGTGCATCATGAGCTTTATCAAGTCTTTGTGTTGCTTTTGTATCGAAAGGTACATTTATTTTATCAGAATGTACAAATAAACTTAATTTTCTATGAGTATCAACAATTTCATCTCATAATGCATCTTTATTAATATTAAGTATACCGTAATATTATTTTCTTTTTGTTTTAGAGAGTCATCATTTTATTTCAGCGAAATTTTGTTGAGTATATCCTTTTCATTCTTTCCTTTTCTGAAATCCATATCATGCATATTTTTTATTAATATTTCAGATAGATGATTATGTGATGAATCAAAGTTATCATATCACAAAATTCAACCGGAGCATGAATTGTCTAGGGTACACGTGACGTAATGTTTTTTCTCTAAATGAAGTATAGAAATGGGTACACAAGTGTTTGACACAATCGGACACTGTATAAGTGAACTAACTAGATGAGGTCAATCAAAAGGAACATTATAACCTCTTTTTTATTAGGTAAAGATCTAAGATGTTCGTTTGTGCCAGAATATAATGTTGTCTCAAGAAATGAAACAAAATCCTTTCTATAGAATAAACAGTAACGCAGCTATATTGACTTATACAAATCTACACTGTGATTTCGATTTCATTTTTACTAGTTTATTAAGATGTAGTTTGATTTCGACTATAGGATTGACATGAGACAAGAAAGAGATAAATCTAAAGAATAATAGGATAAGATTATTTGTACTCTCCACATATATAAATACGAAGATGTCGAAAGCTAGTAGTATGGTGTACTTGAGACCATAGGCGGCGGAACCATTAGGCTTCGGGAGGCTCAAGCCTCCTCTAAATTTGAATAGTGAAGGTTTGGGGAGGCTGAACTTATTCTATTTTTCGGAAAGAATCTTAGACGTTATGATAAAAAGATTGAATAAATAAGTTCTTTCAAAAACAAAAGATGGAGGGTCTGTGTCGTTTTCAAAAGCATCACGTACATGAACAAGGTATTTTAGTAACTGAGAGTCGTACAAAAATCTTCACTATTAATAAGATGTTTTTACTAGAATAGCTTTTTTCGAGAAAGCTAAAGTTTGATGTACTGAAACTCAAATAAGCT